CTGCCATAAAGGTAGATAAATAAGTACAACAGAGCAGGCCAGTCTTCCCATGCATATATGGACAGTTGACATGTGACAAAAATGCAAGGATAGTTCAATGGAGAAATCATTTTTTTTCCAACAAATGGTGCTGGAACCATTGACTCTCCATATATACAACAAAATCAATTACCTTAAGTCTTTACATTCCACCATATAAAAAAATAACAAATGGATTCAAATGTAAAAACCTATTTGAAAGAAAGCATAAGAAAAAAATCTTTGTGCCCTTCCATTAGGCAAAGATTTTTTAGATATAACACCAAAGAATGGCCCATAAAGAAACAAACTGATAAATTGAGCTTAATCAAAATTAAAAACTACTTTTCAAAAACAAAAACACTCTTGAGAGAATTAAGGGGCCAGCCACACACTTGAAGAAAATATTTGTTTTTTGTTTTTAAAGATTTTATTTATTAGAGAGTAAGTGAGTGAGAGGGAGAGGGAAAGAGAAACTGAAGCAGACTCTGCACTGAGCACAGAGCCCAACTCGGGGCTCGACCCCATGGCCACAAGATCATGAGCTGAAACCAAGAGTCAGATGCTTAACCAACTGAGCCACCCAGGCACTCCAAAGAAAATATTGTAGAGCAAATATTTGATAAAGTACTTGTACCCAAAATACGTTAAGTACTCTCAAAATTCAATAACAAAAATACAACCCAACAAAAATATTGGCAAAAGGTTTGACCAGCTATTTCATTAAGAAAGATCCATAGTTGGTAGGTAAGCACTTGTTCAACATCATTAGCTATTAAGGAAATATAAATTAAAATTATAAGATACTTCCATACATGTAGTAGAGCAGCTAAAAGGAGAAATACAGATTATACCAAGTGTTGGTGAAGATATGGAGCAACTGGAACTTTATACACCATTGGTGGTTTTTTAAAATGGTAAATATGCACATATCTTATGGCCTAGCTATTCCAATCCTAGCTGTCTACCCAAGAGAAGTGACACCATATGTCCCTACAAATGAATGTTTATAGCAGCTTTATTTGTAAAAATCCCAAACTAGAAACAACCCAAATGTCCATTAATAGATGAGTGCATAAACAGATTTTGGTATATCCATGTGATGGAATACTACTCAGAAATAAAAAGGAAAAAACAACTGAGATATATATATATATATATATATAGAACATGAATGAATCTCCAAATGAAAGAAGCCAGACAAAAAAGTGTACATGTTGTATGATTCCATTCATATAAAATACTAGAAAATGCAAACTAATTTATAGGGACCAAGTAGATCAATGGTTGCCCAGAAATCTGGGTGCATTAGCTTTTTCATTTCTTTCTGTTTTTCATTATGACAACACTTAACATGAGTTCTACCATCTTAACACATTTTTTTTTTTAAGATTTTATTTATTTATTTGACAGAGACACAGCGAGAGAGGAAACATAAGCAGGGAGAGTGGGAGAGGGAGAAGCAGGCACCCCGCGGAGCAGGGAGCCCGATGCGGGGCTCGATTCCAGGACCCCGGGATCACGACCTGAGCCGAAGGCAGATGCTTAACGACTGAGCCACCCAGGTGCCCCTTAACACATTTTTAAGTGCAGAACATGGTATTGTTAACTGTAGGCACAATGCTAAACAACGGATCTCTAAAACTTCTCTTGCATCTTGCAAAACATTATACCTGTTGAACAACAACTTTATATTTCTCCAGCCCCTTTTACTCACCTTTCTATTCTATTTCTATTGTTTAACTATTTTAGATATCTTCTATAAGCAGAATCATGCTGTCTTTGTCCTTTTGTGACTGGCTTATTTCATGAATTAAAATATCTTCCAAGTTTATCCATGTTGGTGCATATTTCAGGATTTCCTTTTTAAGGCTGAATAGTGTTCATGTGTGTATAATATATATACACCACATTTTATCCATTTACCCACTGATGGACATTTAGATGGTTTCCATAACTGACCTATTGTAAATAATGCTTCTTTGGGATATATAACCCAGAAGTGGGATGCTGGATCATATGATAGTTCTATTTCTAATTTTTTTTGGGGGGGGGGGGAATTTGTTTTTCATGGCGGCTATACCATTTATATTCCTACACACAATGTGTAAGTGTTCCAATTTCTCCACATTTTCACCACTACTTGTTATCTTTTGGGGTTTTTAAAAAAATAATATCATACCGTACGTATATCCAATAAGGAGTTAATTTCCAAAATACCTAAGGAACTCCTACAACTCAATAGCCAAAAATCAGCCCAATTTAAAACGTGGGCAAAGGACTTGAATAGACATTTCTCCGAAGACCTACAGATGGCCAACAGGTATATGAAAAATTGCTCAATATTCACTAATTATTGAGAAAAGTGTTCTTGTTAAGTTCCCTTTTTGATTCTAAGGAAAAGCCAGCCCGAAAATACCACTCTGTAGCATTGCTACAGCTCCCTGCTTCCATACTGATTTTAACTTGGCCTTCCTGTTCTTTGTATGCCTGACAGATTAGGGCTCCACAAAGGTTGCTTTCTTTTATTTTTATTTATTTATTTATTTATTAAAGATTTTATTTATTTATTTGACAGAGAGAGAGATAGTGAGAGAGGGAACACAAGCAGGGGGAGTGGGGGAGGGAGAAGAGAAGCAGGAACCCCGCGGAGCAGGGAGCCTGATGCGGGGCTCGATCCCAGGACCCTGGGATCATGACCTGAGTCGAAGGCAGATGCTTAACCTACTGAGCCACCCAGGCGCCCCAGTTGCTTTGTTTTAAATGACCAGTTGTTATCTGGCAGAGAATCTATGGAAATGGATTGCAAGGGAAGTCTGTCTGCAGGATGGGGTACTTCCCAAGCACTGGGCTCCTGATCAGACAAAGGGCACAGAAAGGAAAAAAAAAAAAGTTAGGGCCGGGTGATGAGGGAGGGAGAAGCTGGTGTTGGTGCTGTTCTGTTCATTTGATCTAATTTGTTTTAGGGCAGATTCTGCTTCCCAGAGTGAGAGAAAGCAGGAAACAAGGATGTTGGTAAGGGAGTTACCTTTCTTGTTTTAAGGCGGTACTTCCTAAATTTCAGTTATTTGCGTGTCATCTTGAAAATTTGTCACTGCTTTCGTCTTTATTATCTGCAATTACATTTATCTTAAAGTTACTATAAAATTATTTCACTTTTAAATGGAAAATTGATTCTTGCTTTGTTAAGATAAGTAGAAGTGTTAAAGATCCTCCATTACCTGAAATTTATCCTGAATAGAACCAGAAATGTTAATGAGTTGAAAAGAAATTCTTTTCGGGGCGCCTGGGTGGCTCAGTCGTTAAGCGTCTGCCTTCCGCTCAGGTCATGATCCCAGAGTCTGGGATCGAGCCCCACATCGGACTCCCTGCTCAGCAGGATGTGGGCTTCTCCCTCTCCCTCTGCTGCTCCCCCTGCTGGTGTACTTTCGCGTGCACGTGCGCGCGCTCTCTCTCTCTCCTCCTCTCAAATAAATAAAATCTTAAAAAAAAATTTTTTTGAGATCTGGCTTGCTTTTAGCGATGGCTCTCACTCTCAGCTGCTCAGGCTTGAGTTGGAATCCCACCAGGAAAGTTGATGAGACTACTGAAGACTGGATCCCTTCCCCCCAAAGATTCTAACTTAATTGATCTGGGGTGATGCTCAGACACTGGGATTCTTTTTAAAGCTCCCTCTGATGATTCTAATATGTAGCCAAATTTAAGAGCCACTGGTCTAGATTTTTGTTTTGTAAGTAACTTTCAACACCTTTTTATATAAACCAAAGAAACTGGCAAAGCCTTGTTGCATGTTTTTTTTTTTTTTTTTTTTTAAATTGTGTGCATGAAATGAAGTAATGTTTGCTCTTTACAAGACTCTGGGCTGAACTGTGGAACAAATGTGGGGGCTCCCCTGCCAAGCTTTCCCCCCATAAATGTAAATTGAAATAGGCCTCACTTGTAAGATTCTCTAGAAAATGTTGAACTGCTCAATATTTTACAGTAGGAGTAATTGGGTCTTCAACAACCAATTCATTTCAAAAATAGATCACTCAGCCTCACCCACCTTAAAAGTTGTGGGTCATGCCATCATAAACAAGGGTGGTGCTGGTTTTCATCCTGATGTAGTGATGGCCTTGGAGATGGCTCTGCATTTTGCCATCCCAGGCACAGGGTGTCTCTTCCAGCTGATGCATTTCATATTTGAGAAGACTATTTGAGCTACGTCACCACTTAATATGTTTGGATTTGTAAGAATCCTCCCTGGCTTAAAGCAAGAATGAGCTGTTACCAGCTGAATGGTACAGTTTCTATTGAGGCACTGGTGATTTAGGACTGGGCCCCTTGGAGGGGCAAAACAGAGTTCAACTAGAGTATTCTTTTTGTTAAAATAAAAACAAATTCCACATTAAAATTAAGTATAAATATTATTTGTCACAGCATTTATAAAAACTAATCCAAAAACAGAAAGACTTAAAAAATACATAAAGCCAGTTAAATCATTGAAGAGATTAAATCTACCTTGATAGTCTAGTCTTAATTTCAAAATATTTCAAGTTTAAATAGAAATGACCCGCTTGTTTTATTTTAGTTTCCTTAAAATGTAGACAAGCTTGTCATTGCAAAAATTATTTTTATAAATTCTTTTGTCATTTTGGTTAATATTTTGAAGGTATAGTGTTGGCATGATCTGCAGGTGCATCAGCTTTTGAAGAATTACCTATGTATGATCTTTTCAGCTGAAACTAATTGATGAGAGAGGATTTTTTTTTTCCCCCCGTCGTCCTTTACAATAGCAGCTTGGTTGAGAATTGACTAATGAAATCTGTTTCTTCTTTTTCCTCCCCTCTCCTTACTACTGTGCCTTTTTATTATATGAGATCCTAGCCTTCTAGAAGGAGGTACTTTTCTTTTGTCTAACTTTGTAGTGATATGTTTAATTGTACATAAAGGGAAATAACACCTTTTTAATAGCACTCATTTATCATCCATGTTCGTAAAAGCTTAATTACAGGAAACACCTATTCTCGGAGAGTAATCAAGATTCAAGTAGTAGTACCAGTGAACTATCTTGGACCAGTAACCGAAAAAAGAAATCCCTAAAACCATATTCTAGTAGAAAAAAGACAAGAATCAGAAACAGCATAAGAGGTAAGTTTGGTACATGTCTTCTTTCAAGTCATTTTTCAAATAATTTTTCAGTTATGTGATGGAAGGAGGGTACCAAAGAAAAAATGATTATGTGATCCCCTTTCCCTGCTACAGTTACATTAGAAAGACAAAATGTACATACGTGAAACAGTGCAAAAGAATATGGAATTGACCAATAATTGTTAAATATGAGCTTTAGATAAATGGACTAGGAGTTCAGATAAGAATCTAACATGAGCTGGAATCACTAGGAAAAGCTTCCAGGAAGAGGCGGGTAGGATTTGAGCCAATCCTTGGGAAAGAATAGTATTCAAAGAGGTGTGCAGAAGGGGAAGCATTCTAAATTAGGTAAAAGTACAAGGACAAAGTGACATGAGGAGAGCATCAGAGGCAGGGTCTAGAGCAGAGAATTCACACTGGTGGGAGGAGCTCAGGAACAAGGTGGATAATTAGGGATCTTAAGAGCTAGGCATTTGAGCAAGCTTCAGGATTTGGGAATTGCTTCTAGCATGGACATGAATACTTGGGAAAGGGAGAAATGAGGTTTTTTTTATTTCTCATGAGCAAACTTATCCATTGTACACTTCTTTTTCTTTTAGTTTTGCCATTTTCCCCTCCCAGAAGTGGCAGTGACCATGAGAAAGACCAAGTAAGTAAATTTATCTGGGCTGCCGTGTGGCCATTAGCATGAGCATGAAACAGGTCAATCTATTTAGGGTTAAATTTCATTTATTTCTCAAAAAAAAAAAAAAAAACTCCTTTCAGGATTATGAGGATAACAGACCACTTTGTTGGTACGTAAATCACTGTCAATAGAAACTGCAAGGACTTGTAAAAGTTTAGTTTAAATCTTGGGTAAAGAAGACTTAGGATCTTTCTTCATTGTTCCCAAATTTATTGTAAGATGTTTATTATGGATGATGCTAAAATCTGGGCTATATTCCTGTAAATATCTGCTCTTTGAATTTACATTTTAAAATGAACTTCTTGGTTTAATGCTTCCCTTAGTTTTCAGTTTACTTCTAAAGCTTTTAATGATTTAAACATTCAAATCTTTATTTTGTAAGTGGTTGAAACAACTTCAGGCTTATATAAATATTGAATAAATCCTCAGTTTCTTTAATTCATTTTGGTTTTCCTTGTTTTAAAGCAACATAGCTAAAAATATGAACACTGGTGTTGTCCAGACAAATTCAAAGCCAAATTTTCCTGTTAATAGCTGAATCTCAACAGTTGGTTTTTGTTTCTTGTCAAATGAGATACATAAAGACTGCAGATACAGTGCCAAGTACATGAGTTTTCTAAGGGGGTGGTTGCTGGGATTCTGACGGCATCAACAGCACCCTACCCCCACCCCATGCAGAAATACATTGTGGTTAGAACTCCAATCACAGTTGTCTCTCCCCACCTGTTCCCTTCTATCAGCTGCTCTCTGTGAATCTAAGGGGCTGTCATATTCTGTACTGACAAAGTTCATAGTTTAAACCTGTTAGCCAGAGTAAGGACTTAAATGTATGTTGAATACTTCAAACCAATGTGAGATATCAGTTAGAATATATATACAATGGAATATTATGCAACCATCAAAAAATGAAATCTTGCCATTTGCAACTACGTGGATGGAACTAGAGGGTATTATGCTAAGTGAAATAAGTCAATCAGAGAAAGACAACTATCATATGACCTCACTGATATGAGGAATTTGAGAAACAAGACAGGATCATAGGGGAAGGGAGGGAAAAATGAAACAAGATGAAACGAGAGAGGGAGACAAACCATAAGACACTCTTAATCTCAGGACACAAACTGAGGGTTGCTGGAGTGGAGGGGGTGGGAGGGATGGGGTGACTGGGTGATGGACATTGGGGAGGGTATGTGCTATGGTGAGCCCTGTGAATTGTGTAAGACTGATGAATCACAGACCTGTACCCCTGAAACAAATAATATATGTTAATAAAAAAAATTTTTTTTAAATAGGCCAAAAGACAGATTTAAAGTAAACACAGCTTTTGTTTGAAGTAAGCACCAAAGAAACATCAAAGCTCTGAGAATCCATAAATTTAAGCTATGCAACTGACAGGAAGTCTGTCGCTATTTCAGTGAGGGTATTGCTGACTTTGTACAAATATTAGCATTCAAAATTCACTCCTCTGTGTTGGCGTGTAAGAGAATAATTTCGGGCAGGAGACAGCAAACATGTTCTGTAAAGGGTCAGATAGTAAATACTGTAAATATTTTGGACATATAAGATCATAAATATTTTCTGTGGGGACTATTCAGCTCTTCCACTGTAACATGAAAGCAGCCATGGACAATACCTAAGTGAATGGGTGTGTTGCATTCCAATAAAACTTTATTTATAAGAAGTCCGGTGAGCTGTAGTTTGTGGATTCCTGATTTAGAGCAGTGATTCTCAAACTGTAGTGATCATCAGAATGAACAGTATGGTTTGTTTAAATGCAGCTTCTGTCCCCATAGTTTCTGGATAAATTTGCATTTCCATCAAGTCCCCAGGTGTTGCTGATGCTCTGTTCTGGGGTGGGGGCCCTACTTTGAGAACTTTAATTTAGAGTTATTTTTGAGTTAGAATTATGAATTGATATATGACTTAACGTGCTCTCAACTGTAGGATCTCATGGTCTTAGTGTTTGTTTTCAAATGGAGCAAATCCAATACTTAAACCACTTTTAAAGGACATTAGAAATGTATTGGAATTTGTTGAAAACTCCTTTGAATGGTTATGAATGTTAACACTCTTTAAAAATACTATATTTTAGGCTAAACTTCTAACACCATTATGGAAAGATACCTCCAGGCAGAATAATTCCACACCTTCAAAAATTTCTGGAACAAAACTTCAGGGTAGTTCTGACTTTTTAACTGCGGAAGATTCTGCCCAGAAAACAGGTACCTGATTTTCTGTTGATTTACATAGACAAAAAATATATTTTAGGAAAAGTAGTTTGAACTAAACAATTTTTTTCTTTTAATATCTGTTGAAAAAAGTGTGAATATATGCTCTTTACTGTCCTCATTAGCAAAAGATAGAGGACATTGTGTCTTAGTTTTGCATTAACATTTGAGATTAGCTTGTCCTCTTCCACTTTTAAAGAAGCAAGAAGACTCAAATGATGACTTATAGCAAGGATTGGTAAACTTTTTCTGTAAAGCACCGGACAGTAAGTATTTTTTTTTTGCTTTTTGGCAACTCTGCAGTTGTAGCTCCAAACCAGCCACAGACCAGATGTAAACCAACGTGCATGGCTGTGTTTCCATAAAACTTTATTTATAAAACCAAGCGGTGGCCTGGATTTGACTTGAGGGGCCAGAGTTTGCCAACCCTTGTCCTGTTAGGTGTATCTTAACCTCTATTTGTATTTTATTAAAACTATTCATATCTTTTGTAAGGCTAGGGATTTTGGTTTGTTCACCTTTATCATTCTGCAGCTTAGCACGTTGCTAGGCAAACGATAGCCGTCAGTAAGCAGGTAACTGACAACTTCTTAGCTTGGCTGCCCCTGGGAGAAAAGGAGTAAGGAAAAGAGAGAGAAAAATATAGCATTAGAGAGTAAGAGGATATAAGTTAGTAGAACTAGAAGAGAAAAGAAAGAGAAGGGTCACAAGCTTGAGGTAGTTGGAGGTTTGCCCGTATATTGGGGGCCAGATGGGCAGCTATGAAAGGTACTGATTTAGTTGAGGTTCTTCATTTTATCTGCAGATATACAAACCTAATAAACATACATGCCCTGAAAGATCCAAAGGGGTTTATTGTTAGTATCTTTTTTTAAAATAAGATTTAATATAGAGAGTGCTAGTGAAATGTTATTACCTGAAGTTGCTTCTTAGCATGTTGATTCCCTGGAAACTGTTCTAACACTCAGAACCTCAAAGTCCCTACCCACCGAGCGATCTGTCATCCTTGGAGCATTCAGAAGTTGAAGAAAATGTATCTAAGGAAAATGTATCGAAGGTACTATTTATTGTTGGTTATTCATCTGATTTTCCAGAGTTAATGTTATATTTGCATCATGTACTTATTCCTTCTTAAGGGATGATGTAGCACCATTTGTTTCTTACTTTAACATATATTTATGGCTTTTTTTCTTTGAGCTGGTAGACCAAGAGTCCTCGATGAAAAGTACTAGCTTCAAACATAAACTGCAAAACTTGGAAGACGGAGGTGAGAGAATACTAAACTCTGCAGAATAAAGCAAAATTGATTTGATTTTGGCAGGCTGGACTGTTATTCTAATCACAGCAGATAAAAAAATCACTTTACAGAGTGACACCAGGTGTTGGAGAGAGCAGTGGGATCTGCTTATCAAAAGTGCATGAAGGTCGAGGGGAGGGACATGGGGCTTCACTCAGGAACAAGAAGAGTGTCTTGTTTCAAGAAGTATAGCCTGGGACCCGCTGCTTCCTCTCTGGCCTCAAAGGAGGGCTCAGTGGGGTCACTTTCCTAAGGATCTGGTCCAGGGGCTCTTTCCATCCCTGAGTAAGTAGGTTCCCTTGCAGTTTATAAAGCAATGTTCTAAAAAATGGTGTGGCCAAGTATTGAAACTTTCCAATTCGTTTTCTTATGGTAACCACGGTAAGAAGGTTTTCAAGCCAGTTCACAGGATTGTGATTTAGTAGAGCACCTAGCCACTCTTTAGGATGTTCTTGAACTGTTTGTTTTCTCTTAACATTTTAAATGAAATACCAGGAAAGTTCAAATAGCTGTATATTATGTGCAGCCTATTTAGGATATCAACACAACAAACATCTGTGGACCAACATCCGGGTTAAGAAAATAAACATTGCTGTTTCAGAATCTTGGTAGGTTCTACCCTAAATTCATCCCTGCCCCCTTCCCCCCTTCACAGGGGCCCATTAACCGTAATTTGGTGTTTGATTCCACTGTTTTTATTTTTTTCACTTTTGCATTGTGAAAAATATCATACCTTCAGAGGAGAATGTCAAATATGTGTACAGTTTAAAGAACAATTATAAGGTGAACACCTTTGTACCTACAACCCAGTCTGAGAACTGGGTTACTGTCACTGACCGAGAATCCTTCCACACTGTGTCATAACCCTGTTACTTCCCTCCATCTCTGAGAGAGATAATGAAAATCCTGACTTGCATGAAAAGCTCTCTGTTGAAATAATGCAATATATGTTAAGAAAAAAAAAAGAAGAAGGTAGCGGGAGGGGAAGAATGAAGTGGGGGAAATCAGAGGGGTAGACGAACCATGAGAGACGATGGACTCTGAAAAACAAACAGGGTTCTAGAGGAGAGGGGGGTGGGAGGATGGGTTAGCCTGGTGGTGGGTATTGAGGAGGGCACATTCTGCATGGAGCACTGGGTGTTGTGCACAAACAATGAATCATGGAACACTTCATCTAAAACTAATGATGTAATGTATGGGGATTAACATAAGAATAAAAAAAAAAAGAAAAGCTCTCTGTTGCTTTTCTTTATAATGCTTTCTTTGTATGCATCCCTAAATAATATGTAGTTTAGTTTTATCTCGTGTACAATGTAAACAAATGGCATCATAGTGTGTAAATAATGTGTGACCTGCTTCTGCTCAAAATCATATGTAAAAATCTATGCTGATGGATGTAGGTGAAGTATATTTATTTTCATCAGAGCATAGCGTTCAGTGATATGAACGGTCTATATCTGTTCTAGTGCTGTGGGATATTTGGATCGCTTACAGTTTTGGTTGTTATAGAAAATGCCACTATGCCAAGTTATGTACATTTCTCCTGATACATATTTGCAAAATATTCTCTAGGTCTATTTTTAGGAATAGAACAGCCACAGAGTTTATATTTCCTTACCGGTTCTAAATGTGCCAAACTGTTTCTCCAAACTGGTTGTATCAATTTACTTTCCCACCAGCTGTGTATAAGAGTTCTGTTGCTTCACACTCTCCAACACTTGGGATTTTAAAGTGTGTGTGTGTGTGTGTGTACAAATTGAAGTTTTAATTTGATTGAATATCCCTGATTAAGGTTAAGCATCATTTTTATATGTTAGCCATTTGAATTTCCTCTTTTGTATAGTGTTAAAATGTCTTGCCCATTTGTCTGGAGGATTGTCTTTTTTATATCAGTTCCTAGGAACTCTTCACATGTTCAGGACTTGTCTATATGTCTTGTAAATGTCTTCTTCCACTGTGTGGTTTGCACTCACTGTAGGTCTTTATGGCTGCTTTTTGGATAACGTTTTTAGTTTTTAATTTTAATGAATTCTAAATTATTAATCTTTTATTTCCCATATTATATTTAATGCGGTGCATTTCTAAGTACTGCTAGAAGTGAGCACCACATGTTGTAATATATATCATCACTTTAAAATATTTTCTATTTTTTGTTTTCATTTCTTTGACCCACAGATTATTTCTCAGTAGTAAGGGATTTTTTAAAGCTATGATTCTGTTACTGTTTTCTAGTTTGATTGCACTGTGGCTAGAGACCATAGTCTATATAACTTAAACCTTTGAAATTTTGAGATGTACTTTCTGACGCAGTATATGTCAATTTTTTTTAAAGATTAACTTGTGGTTAAAAGAGTATAATCCACAATCACTGTAACATCTATATAAATATACATCCAGTAGGTCACTTTTCTTAATTATGTTCTTCAAATATTTTATATTAATTTTTTCAGTCTAATTGTTATATCAATTGTTGAGAGTAGTATGTTAAAACCTCTCATTATGATTGTGGACTTACCAACTTCTCTTTCTGGTTCTGTTCGATTTTTCATTATATAAAATAATATATTGGGGCACCTGGGTGGCTCAGTTGTTAAGCATCTGCCTTCAGCTCAAGTCATGATCCCAGGGTTCTGGGATCGAGTCCCACATCGGGCCCCCTGCTCTGCGGGAAGCCTGCTTCTCCCTCTCCCAGTCCCCCTGCTTGTGTTCCCTCTCTCGCTGTGTCTCTCTCTGTCAAATAAATAGATAAAATCTTTAAAAAAAATAAAATATTTATGTGCTTATAAATGTAAAATAGTATATCCATATGAAATATTGAAACTTTTATCATTATAAAGTGACTCCCTTTATCTCCAGTAATGTTTTTGTCTTGAAGTTTATTTCTTCCATTAAGCATTTGCATGGTATAAGTTTTTCATCATTTTATGTTTACTGTATTATCTCTAAATAATTTTTATCATCGCCCTTGCTTTAAAATGCCTTCTTTGTCAAATATTAAGTTCCTATATAAATGTGGGTGAATCTCTGGCTTATCTTTAGCATTTTGTGGGTCTATTTGTCTGGATTCTTACACTAATACTATCTTTTTTTATTGCTGGAATTTCATAGCAGGTCTTGATATCTAACAGGGAAAGTTGATTCTCTCTCTTTTTTTTTTAAAGATTTATTTAGAAGTGGGGGGCAGAGGGGCGCCTGGGTGGCTCAGTTGGTTAAGCGACTGCCTTCGGCTCAGGTCATGATCCCGGAGTCCCTGGATCGAGTCCCGCATTGGGCTCCCTGCTTGGCGGGGAGTCTGCTTCTCCCTCTGACCCTCCCCCCTCTCATGTGCTTGCTCTCTCTCATTCTCTCTCTCTCAAATAAATAAATAAAATATTTTTAAAAAATAGAAGTGGGGGCAGAGGGAGAGGGAGGGAGAATCCTCAAGCAGACTCCCCACTGAGCACAGAGCCTGATGTGGGGTTCAATCCCAGGACCCTGAGACCACGACCTGAGCTGATATCAAGAGCTGGATTCTTAACCAGCTGAGCCACCCAGGTGCCCCTCTCTTTACTCTTCTTTAAGGCTGACATAATTGTTCAAGGAATTTTGATACTTATATAAATTTTATTTTCCAGCTTTATTGAGATTTAATTGACAAATAACATTGAATAAGTTTAAGGTGTACAATATGATGTATGCATGTATTGCAAAAGGATTACCACAATAAAGTCAATACATATGTCACTTCATATAGTTACAATATTAAAATACTTTTTAGTGAGAATTTTTAAGATCTACTCTTTTAGCTATTTTCAAATATACAACATAGTATTGTTAACTATTAGTCATCATGCTATACATTACATTCCCAAAATTTACTCATCTTATAACATGAAATACATACACTTTGACCACTTTCACCCATTACTCTCCTACCCCTACTATTATAAACCAACAATTCATCTTTCTATGAGTTCAGTTTTTAGATTTCATATATATCATCATGTAGTAATAGAAATCATACAATGTTTGTCTTTCTCTGTCTGACTTACTTAGCATAGTGCCTTCAGGTCCATCCATGTTGTCACAAATGCCAGGATTTCCATCTTTTAATGGCTGAATAATATCCCGAATAGTGTATACATACCACATATTCCTTGTCCTTTCATCTGTCAGTGGACACTTACATTGTTTCCGTGTATTGGCTATTGTTAATAGTGCTACAGTGAACATGAGGGTGCAGTTATCTCTTAAGAGATAATGATTTCATTTCCTAGGATATATATCCGAAAGTGACTTGTTGGACCATTTCGTGTAACTTTAGAGTAATAGATCAGGTATCTTAAGTTCATTAAATTTTTTTTATTTTTTTAGATTTATTTACTTGACAGAGACATAGAGAATGAGCACAGATAGGCAGAGTGGCAGGCAGAGGGAGAGGGAGAAGCAGGCTGTCCACTGATCAGGGAACACAATGCGGGGCTCAATCCCAGGACCCTGGGATCATGACCCAAGCCGAAGGCAGACGCCCAACCGACCGAGCCACCCAGGTGCCCCAAGTTCACTAAAATTTTGATAGGGATTGCATTAAATACATAGATTAACTTGATATTAACTTTATCTTTAAAATATTTAATCATCTTGGTGCCTACCTGGCTCAGTTGAAAGAGCATGTGACTCTTGATCTCAGGGTCATGAGTTTGAGTCCCATGTTGGGTGTAGAGATTACTTTAAAAAAAAATTTAAAAAGATAATAAAATATTTAATCATCTTACACTATACAGAATGTGTCCATTGATTTTTATCATGGGCTATGTCATTTATAGAGTTCTAAAGTTTTCTCCTAGATTAATTCTTAGATATTCAGAGTTCTGTTATTACTCTTTTTTAAATGATTATGCTACAGTGAAAATATGCTATTGGTTATTCTGTGTCAGTCAAACTTTCAAAATTCTTGTGAGGTCTAACAGTTTATTAGTTGATTCTCTTGG